GGGTTCGGTGGGATGGGGACAGGCTCTGTGGGGTTGAGGAGAGGCTCCGTGGGGTTAGGGACAGGCTCCGTGGGATGGGGACAGGCACCGTGGGATGGGGACAGGCTCCATGGGTGGAGGATTTGGCTCTGCAGCAGTCCTGCCCCGCTCGCTGCCCAAGGGCCCGGCTGCAGGGACGCCGTGCCTCGGCGCCAGGTGCTGCCGTTCCCCTTGCCAGGGTCGGGGGTCTCCAGTCCCTGCGGCTCCTTCGCCCCTGAATCCCTCAAGGCAGAGCCCAACAGCAGCTCCCTCCTGTCCCCCCCGCCGCTGGGTGCCGGGGCTCGGGGGGCTGGAGCCGGCCCTGGGGACGGACTGGGGGCCGCCGGCGGTAGCATTTGGCGGGGGGCAGGACGCCGGTACCCACTGTGGAGGCACCGGGGGCACGGGCGCTTGCTGGGGTGCAGGAGCAGCATTCCCACGGCACGGCTCTGGCCGCCCTTGGCCGGACGGCATCCCTGCTGCCGGGAGAGGACGGCAGCTTCTCCTTTCTTTTCTCCTTGTCTTCCCAAGGATTTGGCTGCTGTGGTTCCTGGAGCTGCTGCGGGGGGAGGCCGGTGATGGGGGGAAGAGGCGAGGTGGGAGGGTGCCCCCCAGAAGGTCCCCCCAAGCATCTGCGGCTCAGCCTTGGGCTGCAAGGTGGCTCTGGGTGGCAAACTGGGTCAGACTGGGCCAGACTGGGCTGAGCTGCTGGTCGGGAGCTGGCTCCTCTGCGGGGGGGTTTGCCTTGGGTTTTGGGGAGCCTGAGAGGAGACCCCCACCCAGGGCGGTTTCTCACCCGCCCACCCCTCCAGTGCAGGATGGAGTGCAAGGACGTGGCGGCAGAGACGCTCTACGACGTGCTGCATGACATCGAGTACCGGAAAAAGTGGGACACCAACGTCATCGAGACCTTCGACATCGGGAAGCTGACCGTCAACTCCGACGTGGGCTACTACGCCTGTGAGGAGGGGGACGGGGGGTCCCGGGGGGGGAGCCGAGCCCCGGGGCTGTCGTGGCTGCGCCGCTGCGTTCAGCACCCGTGGGTTTGGTGGGTGCCGGGGTGCCCGGGCATCGCTGGGAGGAGCCTGGGTACCGGTTCAGGAGGGATTTGGGGGGCAGGCTCGGGCCCCCGGGGGG